CCAGCACTATAACATGAATATCACACACATCCCAACACCAGCACTGTAACATGTATATCACACACGTCCCAACACCAGCACTATAACGTGTATACCACTCACACCTCTACACAGGCACTACAACAAGTATACCACTCACACCTCTACACCAGCACTATAACATGTATATCACACACGTCCTAACACCAGCACTGTAACATGTATATCACACACGTCCCAACACCAGCACTATAACATGTATATCACACACGTCCCAACACCAGCACTACAACATGTTTATCACACACGTCCCAACACCAGCACTACAACATGTATATCACACACGTCCCAACACCAGCACTACAACATGTAGATCACACGCGTCCCAACACCAGCACTACAACATGTGTATTACACACGTCCCAACACCAGCACTACAACAAGTATATCACTCACACCTCTACACCAGCACTATAACATGTATATCACACACGTCCTAACACCAGCACTGTAACATGTATATCACACACGTCCCAACACCAGCACTGTAACATGTATATCACACACGTCCCAACACCAGCACTGTAACATGTATATCACACACGTCCCAACACCAGCACTGTAACATGTATACCACTCACACCTCTACACCAGCACTGTAACATGTATATCACACACGTCCCAACACCAGCACTACAACATGTAGATCACACGCGTCCCAACACCAGCACTACAACATGTGTATTACACACGTCCCAACACCAGCACTACAACATGTATATCACTCACACCTCTACACCAGCACTATAACATGTATATCACACACGTCCTAACACAAGCACTGTAACATGTATATCACACACGTCCCAACACCAGCACTGTAACATGTATATCACACACGTCCCAACACCAGCACTGTAACATGTATACCACCCACACCTCTACACCAGCACTGTAACATGTATATCACACACGTCCCAACACCAGCACTGTAACATGTATATCACACACGTCCCAACACCAGCACTGTAACATGTATACCACACACGTCCCTCTACACCAGCACTGTAACATGTATATCACACACGTCCCAACACCAGCACTGTAACATGTATATCACACACGTCCCAACACCAGCACTGTAACATGTATATCACACACGTCCCAACACCAGCACTACAACATGTATATCACACACGTCCCAACACCAGCACTATAACATGTATATCACACACGTCCCAACACCAGCACTACAACATGTATAACATGTATATCACACACGTCCCAACACCAGCACTACAACATGTGTATATCACACACGTCCCAACACCAGCACTGTAACATGTATATCACACACGTCCCAACACCAGCACTATAACATGTATACCACTCCACACCTCTACACCAGCACTATAACATGTATATCACACACGTCCCAACACCAGCACTGTAACATGTATATATCACACACGTCCCAACACCAGCACTGTAACATGTATATGTATATCACACGTCCCAACACCAGCACTGTAACATGTATATCACACACGTCCCAACAACCAGCACTATAACATGTATATCACACACGTCCCAACACCAGCACTAGCAACATGTATATCACACACGTCCCAACACCAGCACTACAACATGTATATCACACACGTCCCAACACCAGCACTACAACATGTATATCACACACGTCCCAACACCAGCACTATAACATGTATATCACACACGTCCCAACACCAGCACTATAACATGTATATCACACACGTCCCAACACCAGCACTACAACATGTATATCACACACGTCCCAACACCAGCACTATAACATGTATATCACACACGTCCCAACACCAGCACTACAACATGTATATCACACACGTCCCAAACACCAGCACTGTAACATGTATATCACACACGTCCCAACACCAGCACTACATTATGTATATCACACACGTCCCAACACCAGCACTACAACATGTATATCACACAGGTCTCAACACCAGCACTGTAACATGTATACAATAACACGCAATATCACACACGTCCCAACACCAGCACTGTAACATGTATATCACACACGTCCCAACACCAGCACTACAACATGTATATCACACATCACCAACACCAGCACTATAACATGTATATCACTTCGCACGTCCCAACACCAGCACTATAACATGTATATCACACACGTCCCAACACCAGCACTATAACATGTATATCACACGTAACATGTATATCACACACGTCCCAGCACACCAGCACTATAACATGTATATACACACGTCCCAACAACACCACTAGCACTACAACATGTATATCACACACGTCTCAACACCAGCACTATAACATGTATATCACGTATATCACACACGTCCCAACACCAGCACTATAACATGTATATCACACACGTCCCAACATGTATATCACACACGTCCCAACACCAGCACTATAACATGTATATCACACACGTCCCAACACCAGCACTATAACATGTATATCACACACGTACCAGCACTATAACATGTATATCACACGTCTCAACACCAGCACTGTAACATGTATATCACACACGTCCCAACACCAGCACTATAACATGTATATCACACACGTCCCAACACCAGCACCAACACCAGCACGTCCCAACACCATGCATACTATAACATGTATATCACACACGTCCCAACACCAGCATACAACACACACGTCCCAACACCAGCACTACAACATGTATATCACACACGTCCCAACACCAGCACTACTATAACATGTATATCACACACGTCCCAACACCAGCACTACAACATGTATATCACACACGTCCCAACACCAGCACTATAACATGTATATCACACACGTCCCAACACCAGCACTATAACATGTATATCACACAGGTCCCAACACCAGCACTATAACATGTATATCACACACGTCCCAACACCAGCACTACAACATGTATATCACACACGTCCCAACACCAGCACTACAACATGTATATATCCCAACACCAGCACTACAACATGTATATCACACGTCCCAACACCAGCACTAACAACACGTCCCAGCACTACAACATGTATATCACACACGTCCCAACACCAGCACTATAACATGTATATCACACACGTCCCAACACCAGCACACATGAATATCACACACGTCCCAACATGTACTACAACATGTATATCACACACGTCCCAACACCAGCACTATAACATGTATATCACACACGTCCCAACACCAGCACTACAACATGTATATGACACACGTCCCAACACCAGCACTATAACATGTATATACACACGTCCCAACACCAGCACTGCAACATGTATAACATGAATATCACACACGTCCCAACACCAGCACTACAACATGTATATCACACACGTCCCAACACCAGCACTCCCAACACCAGCACTACTACAACATGTATCCCAACACCACACACATGTATATCACACACACGTACACCAGCACTATAACATGAATATCACACACGTCCCAACACCAGCACTATAACATGTATATCACACACGTCCCAACACCAGCACTACAACATGTATATCACACACGTCCCAACACCAGCACTACAACATGTATAACACACACGTCCCAACACCAGCACTACAACATGTATATCACACACATGTAGATACACGTCCCAACACCAGCACTACAACATGTATATGACACACGTCTCAACACCAGCACTACAACATGTATATGACACACGTCTCAACACCAGCACTATAACATGTATATGACACACGTCTCAACACCAGCACTACAACATGTATATGACACACGTCTCAACACCAACTCAACAGAATATATGTCACTCTCACCTCTACCCAAACACTACAACATGCGTGCTAAATACGTGTCAACATCAACATTACGACATATGTTTGATACATGCATCAACAAATGCGACTCGACATGTATCACACACGGAATATAAAACAAGCGGTGGTGAGATAATGCTGTGCATTGGGGTTCGGACAATTTAGTGACATGATATGAAGTTTATTGTTTCCTTATTGAAATAAATTATTATGCACGAGAGAATATAGAATTGGGGTAAATATCTCCCTTTAATGTGTGTAACTTGTATACCATGTATGCAAAAAGTAGTCGGCCTAACTATAGTTTCGATGTCAAATGTTTGAAAAGCTTCCATTTTATTTTGAGGTAATCATTAGCAAAACCATATCCAAAATGCCACATATGTGGGTAATGAAGTTAACGAGATATTAATCATCACAACACATTCGGTATAATATTTCTTTAAGGAAATGCAGAAAATGAAAAATGATCTGTCATTTGGTACCTCTTGGATGATGGTATGCCCTCCGATGATATCATATAAAATATGCATGTTATAGTATTGGATGATCTCCCGTCATAATCAACAGTCAAAGTTTGGATTGCTTGATTCAGATTTAGACGGCAGCTGGTTTTTAAGGACACTCCCAGTTTAGTCCTTCAAAAACATTATGTCCAGATATTCAAGCTGGATCTGTTTACACTATATTGAGAGCTGACACTTGTTTGACGATTCAGAATTTAGTTTGAACCCTTGACGAATAAGTGAAAACATTAGAATAAGTTATGTCCTTATGATTACGTCATGTGAAAGGTGGTGGGTAGTGTCTCCAAAACAAGCTCTTTAAGTAAACATGAAGGGGGAGTCACTTTAACAAGCCACTGCAGTCTCAAAGAGCGTTTTGTTTTGTTTTTATACACTTTAATATCAAAGTTTGATTCTAGCGTACTTCTGCCTTTCTCAAACACACAAAATTTTCTTGCATATTTTGTTTCCTGAAGTTTTTGATGCAGATTCATTGCATATCTTGCATTTTGGGGGTACCAAGATAAAAAGTCAAACAAAATGGGGACCGTTAGGCCGTTTTTGCATAGAGACAAATATGTGATAAAGGATCACGGAAAAACATTTTAATAACAGGAAACTTGTTTAAGGCTCATTAGAGATGTATTCATATGTCACGTTTTAGTTTCAGGATAACAATGGGACCTTTGCCAATACATTCCCTTCTGATGTTGTGGGCTGCATTCACCATTAACGGGATGCTACATACTGAACAAGACACAGTGACCTGCAGTCCGTGTATATGCCAGACTACCAGTGCTGTGATCCGACCATTCTGTAATCTTACCAGTGGTGGGGTTTCCGCGCATTGTACCAACGTGTCGTGGGATTTCATACATATGAATATTCCTAACAGAACTACACAACTCTTCCTTATCCGTAATAACTTAAGTGTGCTTACAGAGGGGATGTTCTCCCGCTTTACACAGCTGCAGTTACTCAATATTTCCATGAACGAACTGGAACATATCTCTTCCAGTGCATTCCTTGGTCTCGAACATGTATGTGAATTAAACCTGACACAGAACGCTATCAAACGCATTACACCAGGCACATTTGCACCTTTGAGTAATCTTTCGGTCCTCGATATATCCAACAACAGAGGCATTGGACTAGAAGGTATTGGAAACATCACTTCAGATCTCAAGGATCTGCCTATACGGAAACTCGTCATGAATAGCGTTGTTGCAGAATACGCAGTGTGCATAATCATGAAAAATGCATTTATACAAAATCTAAACTATACGAATCTGGAGGAATTCCATGCTGACGGCAACTCCATTCAAACATTTGGGAGCAAGGCTTTCGAATATTTTCCGAAATCACTTCGAAAACTATCACTACGGGAAAACAAACTTACCTTTGGAGAGTATTTGTCAGATATTTCCAATTTAACAGGGCTAGAAGAAGTTGACTTGAGTGGGTTAAACCATGCTCACGAATTACCAGATTTCTCTGATCTCAAATGGTTGACAACTACATTTGAAGACTGTCAATCTGACAATGTTTGTGAGTCCAATCCAATCATCTTTTCGTCTAACTATGCTGACATATTTTCTCACCACTCTTTGACCACGGGTGAGGGAAAACCTATTCCCGTTCCTCCAAAACTAAAGACATTTGTTTATGCCTATTCTCAGCTGGCCTACCACATTGGTAACATAACATTTTCACCTAACGTATTAGACCACGTAGATTTGTCCAGTAACATCTTATCAACTTGGACTGGTCCTGTCACTGGGCTAGAGGATATCACATTCTTGGATATAAATAATAATGTGGCAAAAGCAATATCTCAAACCTTCTTTCATACATTTCCCAATCTTCAGATTCTCGATGTGTCCTTTAACTTCATGGGCAATGTGCTTCAAAAGGACACTGACGGCGATGTTTTCCTCAACCAAAGGAAACTGCAAATATTGAACCTGACATCCAATTTTATTTCACATCTCACGAAGAATGTATTTAAAAGTCTAGTATCCATCGAAATCCTAAAGTTGGGGAGTAACATCATCCATCCGGATCTCGACATAGAACTCGAACACATGATCAACCTAACTAGTCTTGTACTCACATCTAATCAAATACGATGGCTTGGGCTGTCTACAAGAGAATCTCTAGACAAGATAGCTGCTCGAAGACCAAACATCAAATTGGAGGTAGATTTGTCCAACAATCCCCTATCCTGTACATGCTACAACCTTCACTTTCTCAACTGGATCCGGACAGCACATATCATCAAGTTTGTTAGCCTGAGCAATTACTACTGCCTCTTCAGTAGTGGAAGAAGACAGAATTTTACAGATTTGGACACCATCTACAGCGAGTTAGAAAAGTCATGTCATAACCATTTTGGTATATACCTTGGTGTTGTAGCGTTGTTTATAATGATTGTGCCCTTTATCGTATGCAGTATAGCGTATCGTTACCGCTGGAAGTTGCGGTACTGGTATTATGCTGCAAGACTGCGCTACAGCAACACAACTGATTCAGGAAACGATCCATTATTTGAGTTCGATGCTTTTGTGTCCTTCGATGATGAAGATCGTGACTTTGTGGTGAATGATCTCTTACAAAAGTTGGAAGTAGAGGCAGGCTTAAGGCTGAACATACACCAGAGAAACTTTACGCCAGGTCGTCAGATTGCTGCCAACATCCTTGAAGCAGTGAAAAAGAGCAAAAGAACATTGCTTGTGTTATCTCGGGAGTCTTTAAAAAGCTACTGGTGTATGTATGAACTCCAAATGGCCAACATGGAAAGTATTACCACCGGTCGGGACGTGCTGTTGATCATCATGTATGAACAGATACCAACAAGAGACATTCCTGCTGAAATCCTGTATCACATACAGACTGACTCCTACATCGAGTACCCCCATGATGGGCACACAGATATCTTCTGGAGAACCCTAATCGAATCACTAAATAAGTAAAAGAACCATATATGTCAACATACATGCACGTTTTACACCCACGTGCTTAAACTCCTGACATATGATGCATAGATATGTGCAGGTGATGTGCCCGTCACTGTAATATGTTTGCTGATTCAGGTTGTAGATGTTTTAAGCTTCTTGTAGGCTTTTAGTCATTGTAGACATTTTGTACTTCCTTTTTGCGCTCGTGTGTCTGTCTGTGTGTTTGGGGGCGGGGAGCGCTAGTTGTCATGTATGGGTACTACACCAAAGTGATGGTTGGAATATTTAAGACATTACTTCTGATAGACTTGATTTTAACAAAATGATACAATACCTGCGTGGGAGTAAGTCATAAGGACCAATGAGTTCAAATGGTTAGTGTGATGACATGATGGTGCATTTGGTCATGATAGAGGTCTGGGGTTCAATTGGAAGTTTGCAATACTGTATCAGGCCCGTAATCTGTACGACAGAGAAACATCATATCGTGTGAAAGCCCACACTGTCCTTCCTCGGTGATTAAAATATATCTTTTGGAGTTTGCTTCCAAGACAAACAGTATGTGACTCCTCAAAACCGAGTCAGTGACAATGGTCAGACCGGCATGCACATGCTTTCTGAGCTTATTTGCTTAATGACCAACACTTTGTTATGTTTCAGATCGTGATTGATTTGGTAATGTTCGTGTGAAATCACTAACTCATTGTCAATCCGTGTATGATCCTGTTTCAGCTTAAAGCAAATTCCCCTCTACATTTTTGCATAGGATACATTGTACGATATACAACATACACTCTCACACCCACACTCACACCAACACACCTACCTACCTACTTGGGGCCTTGCAGTAGCCTAGTGGTTAAAACGTTCGCTCGTCACGCCGAAGACCCAGGTTCGATTCCCCACATGGGTACAATGTGTGAAGCCCACTTCTGGTATCCCCCACGGTGATATTGCTGGAATATTGCAAAAAGCGGCGTAAAACCATACTTACTCACACACCCATTCACTTGCATAGATGCATATCAAGTGTTATCTACACAGTGTTCGCAGTAGGAATAAAAGCTTCGCGTCCTTAAAACACGTATTCCCTGGAGTCTTGCTTGAGCACGAACTTTCACCCATTGAACGAGTTTTACAGTTTCATAAATAGTTTGGTTTATTAGCCATTTTCAGCAATGTAAATTATTTCAGCAACGTACGAAGGGCAAAATCAATGCCATGCCATCCCATCCCATCACCTTACTCCGCGTTGTGTCGTTTACGTCACGTGACCTTTAAACTGTTTGAGGATTGGCCAGAAACTTCGCTTGTTCTTTGTTCCAGCAGTCTCGCACTGATTGCGGATCTCGTTCCACAAATCACTGTTAGCCCTAAGTTGGGGGTTATAACGGAATAGCTGCATGACATACACATTGTTTACGGAAACTGCAGTATCAACAACAAACGTTACGGTAACGGGGAGGTGTGGCACACAACACGTGACTCGAAAATGTAATTTCCGAACCGCGATTAACTATGTATGGTATGAATTCGTGACATATATGGTCATACACGGTTCGGAGTTTTGCACGCCATCGGGCGAAGTCGCTATTTATAAACCTGGGGAATCCCAACTTTCGGTAACTTTAACATGTCACAACGGACAATGTACATTTCAGTATCATGAGAATGAAGGAAGTAATTTAAAGATGTAACTACCCTGAAGACAAAATGTTTGCGTGCTTGAAACGTAGATTTGTTTCCGTGAAACTCGCAGGTTTTTGAGTTAACGCGAACATTGCTACATACGCAAATACGCACGCGCACGCACGTGTACGCGCACACAGACACATACACACCCATACACATATACACGCATGTAAAATATGCATTTTGTGACGGCGATAAAGCAAGAACGATATAAATATAAAGTAAGATAATCAATCACCTGCAATGCTCCACTGCTACTGTGTGTGCCATGTGAGGAAATGAAACAGGTTACAAAAGAAATGTGTGTATGTGTGATCATGCCTTGAAATGAAGTTAGTTTCATTAACCCAGCAAAAGTGAGGGAAATGCTCAACCTTACAGCTGGTAGGCGTCTTGCGTCACTAGAATATTGAATACTTCTATCTTTAGCATTTCAGAAGCAGTTATTAAAAGATATTTTCAGGAAATAATTTTAGTAGTACAAATAGTATTAATTAAAAACAGCTCTTTACATGTGAGTTCAAACAATATCACCACTGAACTTCCCATCTGATGGAAGAAACGGCAAAATGGTAGGGTATGACAATGTACCATCATTGTGTTTGTATGTGTGTTGTTTCAATTTCCTGTTTTGTAATTAGCTCGCTCTCTTCTGGGTGTATCTCATCCTCTCAAGTAAAGTACTGCTTGTAGTTTATGCGCATGGAAATAAAATAAATTCTGTTTACAGATTAGCGTTCGTGTTCACAATAAACATAATTACAACAGCACTAAGACGACAATGTCTCATGCAGTCATCGGGCTACTCATTGTTTAGTCGTTTTGTACTGTGCATGTTCCACAGATGAATAGACAGTGAAGGATTGGACCCTTAACCTTACATGTACCTCCATGTCACATGACCTTAATGGCCGTCTTTACAAAATGTGCCATGGCCTAATTTAACGGTTAATATGTCAAAATGTTTAATGGACCCATGGAAAGTGTACAGTTACATAACTGCTTCACGAACTGAACCACGTACAATAAAAACACATAATATATGTATCTGTACTGGTCAACCTTGATAGTTGCGGAAACACACTGTATTGTACATGTGACTATATACATTACACAAATATTTCTTCAGAAAATCAGAATTGACACCAATATATCTTTCACCAAATATATCTTCAGTATTTAAAATAAGATAAGACAAATCCAGTTAACCATGCATGGTGACATTTTGGATGTAGACAGACACATACCAGTAGAGTCAGGTATCATTGTTCCGGGCAATTTATGTTACTTGATTTGTTTTTGTCAATTCGCTAGTTGGGATAGGACTGATAAGATCTTAGCCTCATATATACAGTCGTGATCTATTATTTAACATAATACCCTTGATACAATATATACTCTTTGTGATACTGCTAGAATGAAAATGTTTCAGTTGACATGTGTAATGGAACTAGAACACAATAAACATTGATTATTGTTCATTTTAACAATTGCAAATAGTTGTTAGAATAAGTACTAGTGTACGTTAACTTGTCCTGTATGTGTACTGGTCGCATGATTAGCAAACAACGTGCAGTAATTGTCCTTCTCAGGCAGCCAGTCTTTCTTCTTTGTGGAGACCCGTGAAGATCCGGGTTAAAATCGATCTTCAGTAACCAATGTTTGTCGTAAGAGGCGACTAATAGGATCGGGTGGTCAGACTCGCTCACTTGGTTGAAACATTTCATTGGTTCCGAATTGCGCAAATCGATGTTCATGCTGTTAATCACTGGATTGCTTGGTCCAGACTCAATTATTTACAGACCGCCGCCATAGAGCTGGAATACTGCCGACGAAGAAGCGTGAAATCATACCAAGAAACTTGAGTACGCTCCAATCTCTCCAAGGTCATATATCCACAACTTATGTATGTCTTGCAGACATTTTCATTTGACATTGTTCTTTGTAAAAAAATGTTAAATATACCAACACAAAATGCTTAAATGTTTGGACAAACCGTAAGCCTGTATGTTTGACAAGCTCATCACCGGTGTGATTCATTAGTCACGTCGTGTGATTCAAACTTCTGAGAGGAACATGGGTGGTGAGATGGCATCACATTGTCATCGATATTGTGTAACATTATTTACATTATATACACGACAAATCTCATTTTAAATGGTAATTCGAAATGCACAGTTATGGTGCATAATGTTGTTCCTGGAAGTAAAAGGTAAATGGAGGAAGATAACAATTCTGCATGCACACATTCTATAAAATCACCAGATGAGGAAAGGAAAAACCCCTCTGTATTTCATGCACGTGACAGCGAAGCTAAGAGAAGAGTGGAGACATGGACTCATATCACCTTCCAGATCAATATGTATCAGTACACACTGTCAAATGTAGACTCGTAGCCAGCCTTCGTGACTCGAAGACACATTGAGCAACCTTAGTGACTCGCAGACACATTGAGCAACCGTAGTGACTAGCAGACACATTGAGCAGTCGCACATTCATTTCGAACGCTCAGCAATCACCATGAGACACACTGAGCAACCTTGCATACTCACAGACACATTCTTAGTGACTAGCAGACACATTGACCAACCTTAGTAAATCGCAGACACCTTGTGCAACCTAATTCACTAGCAGACACATTGAACAGACTTAATGACTCGCAGACACATTGAGCACCCTTAGTGACTCGCAGATACATTGAGCAACCTTAAGTGACTCGCAAACACATTGAGACACCTTAGTGACTCGCAAACACATTGAGTAGCCTTAGTGACTAGCAGACACATTGAGCAGCCTTCGTGACTAGCTGATACATTCAGCAGCCTTAGTGACTCGCAGACACATTGAGCAGCCTTAATGACTAGCAGACACATTGAGCAGCCTTAGTGACTCGCAGACACATTGAGCAGTTTTCATGATTAGCAGACACATTGAGTAACCTTAGTGACTCGTAGACACAATGAGCAGCCTTAGTGACTGGCAGACACATTGAGCAACCTTAGTGACTAGCAGACACATTGAAGGCTTTAGTGACTAGCAGACACACTGAGCAGCCTTGGTGACTCGCAAACACATTGAGCAGCCTTAGCTACTAGCAGACACATTGAGCAGCCTTAGTGACTAACAGACACATTGAGCAGCCTTCGTTACTAGCAGACACATTGAGCAACCGTAGTGACTAGCAGACACATTGAGCAGCCTTAGTGACTAGCAGACACATTGAGCAACCTTAGTGACTAGCAGACACATTGAGCAACCTTAGTGACTAGCAGACACATTGAGCAGCCTTAGTGACTAGCAGACACATTGAGCAAGCCTGGAGTGACTTGCAGACACATTGAGCAGCCTTTGTGACTAGCAGTCACATTGAGCAACCTTAGTGACTGTAAGACATATTAAGCAGCCTTAGTGGCTCGCAGACACATTAACCAGCCTTAGTGACTAACCAGAAACATTGAGCAACCGTTAGTGACTAGCAGATACATTGAGCAACCTTAGTGACTCGCAGACACATTGAGCAACCGTAGTGACTCGCAAACACATTGAGCAGCCTTAGTTACTCAGCAGACACATTGAGCAACCTTTAGTGACTAGCAGACACACTGAGCAAGCCTTAGTGACTAGCAGACACATTGAGCAGCCTTAGTGACTAGCAGACACATTGAGCAACCGTTGTGACTAGCAGACACATTGAGCAGCCTTAGTGACTAGCAGACACATTGAGCAACCAACTAGCAGACACATTGAGCACCCTTAGTGACTAGCAGACACATTGAGCAACCTTAGTGACTAGCAGACACATTGAGCAGCCTTAGTGAGCAGACACATTGAGCAACCTTAGTGACTAGCAGACACATTGAGCAGACACTTAGTGACTAGCTTAGTGAGACACATTGAGCAGCCTTAGTGACTAGCAGACACCAGCCTTTGACTCCCAGACACATTGAGCAGCCTTTAGTGACTAGCACACACATTGACACAATTAGTAACATTTGCAAACATTATTGAGCAGACCTTCGCAGCCTTAGTGACTAGCTGCCATATTGACTAACCTTAGTGACTAGCAGACACATTGAGCAGCCTTCGTGACTCGCAGACACATTGAGCAACCTTAGTAACTCGCAGACACATTGAGCAGCCTTAGTGACTCGCAGACACATTGAGCAGCCTTCGTGACTAGCAGACACATTGAGCAGCCTTCGTGAGCAGACACATTCGTGACTCGCAGACACATTGAGCAGCCTTCGTGACTAGCAGAATCATTGACCAGTCTTCGTGACTAGCAGACACATTGAGCAACCTTAGTGACTCGCATACACATTGTGCTACCTTAGTGACTAGCAGACACATTGAGCAGCCTTCGTGACTAGCAGATACATTGAGCAGCCTTAGTAACTCGCAGACCTATTCAGCAGCCTTAGTGGCAGACACATTGAAGGCTTTAGTGACTAGCAGAAACATTGAGCAGCCGTAGTGACTAGCAGATACATTGAGGAGCCTTAGTGACTAGCACATACATTGAGCAACCGTAGTGACTCGCAAACGCATCGAGAAGGCTTAGTGACTAGCAGACACATTGAGCAGCCTTCGTGACTACCAGACACACTGAGCATCCTTAGTAACTCGAAGACACATTGAGCAACCTTAGTGACTCGCAGATACACTGAGCAACCCTAGTAACTCGCAGATACATTCCTCAACATTAGTAAGTCGCAGATACATTGACTAGCCTTAGTGAATCTCAGACAAATTGAGCACCCTCATTGACTCGCAGTCACATTGAGCAGCCTTACTGACTAGCAGACACATTGAGCAGCCTTAGTGACTAGCAGTCACATTGAGCACCCTTAGTGACTAACTGAAACATTGAGCACCCTTAGTGACTAGCAGACACATTAAGCACCCTTAGTGACTAGCAGACACACTGAGCACCCTTAGTGACTAGCGGACACATTGAGCAACAGTAGTGATTAGCATACACATTGAGGAGCCTTAGTGACTAGCACATACATTGAGCAACCGTAGTGACTAGCAGACACATTGAGCAGCCTTCGTGACTAGCTGATACATTCAGCAGCCTTAGTGACTCGCAGACACATTGAGCAGCCTTAATGACTAGCAGACACATTGAGCAGCCTTAGTGACTCGCAGACACATTGAGCAGAGCAGTTTTCATGATTAGCAGACACATTGAGCAGCCTTAGTGACTCGCAGACACATTGAGCAGCCCTCAGTGACTAGCAGACACATTGAGCAGCCTTAGTGACTCGCAGACACATTGAGCAGCCTTAGTGACTAGCAGACACATTGAGCAGCCTTAGTGACTCGCAGACACATTGAGCAGCCTTAGTGACTAGCAGACACATTGAGCAACCTTAGTGACTAGAAGACACATTGACAAGCATTGACCAGTCTTAGTGACTAGCAGACACATTGAGCAACCTTAGTGACTCGCAGACACATTCAACACCCTTATTGACTCCGCAGACACATTGAGCAACATTAATGACTAGCAGATACATTGAGCAGCATTAGTTACTCGCAGACACATTGTCTATCCTTAGTGAATCACAGACACACTGAGCACCCACAGTGACTAGCAGACACATTGAGCAGCCTTAGTGACTCGCAAGACACATTGAGGAGCCTTCGTGACTAGCAGACACATTGAACAACCTTAGTGACTCGCAGACACATTGAGCAGCCTTAGTAACTCGCAGACACATTAA